TGACTGCAGTGAATGACATCGGTACTCAGATGAAGTAAAACTGCCACCTGATAAGGAAGAAATACGGTGTTATTTTGGTGATGTTCTTGCTAAACGCAATCAGCTTGAAGTTGAGGGATATTTAACAAAAAATTATTAGTTGTCATCTTTAAAAGATTAATTTCATGAAAGCCACAGGGTTTTTACTTTGGGGAGTAAAGAGATGGGACAATTGAATGGCTCCTTGTCTTGCTATAAGGAATATAATCACATGAGGGGAATGACTGACTTTAATGAGGTCCTAGGACTGTATTAGCAAGACTTTGACTATTAATTGTGATTATTAATGAGAATACCATACATGGATCCCTTTAAGCATTTGGGGCAAGAGGGCATACAGTTGACAACTTATTCCTAAGCTGTTTGTGCTGGACTTGTAACTCTAGTTTCAACTTGTTTTAAAATAAGCAAAAATACTTATTTTTTGTTTGAAAAGGAAGATATAAACAGTCTTTTACTTGAGTCTACAAAAAGAGGTTAAAATGAAGTAATAAATGTGTTTTTCATAACAATACAAAAGATTAAATGTCAGCCATATGATCACAAATTCACTTATTAAAAGATGATCCTAAAATTAAAATTTCAGTTTTAAAAACTACAAGAAAAAAAAAAAAGCTGCTTCTCCAACTACATATTTCTGTGTAAAGCATAGAAGGAAAACTGCCTTCTAGACAAAAGCATTTCTAGGGGTTAGACAATAGTATTTAAAGTCTAGGGGAGATCTCAGTCCTTTGTGTGTCTGGTAATTTTCTACCTATCTCTCTATTTTCCACTTTCCTCATTTACAGACCTCCAACCTTTGGGCGATATTGGCCAGCCAAAACAGTTCTAGACTGTATTTGGAATGGAGCATTACCTCAAGACAGCCTGCCAATGAGGTCTAAATGGGAGTGTTCTGGACATCCTGGGGAAAGAATCAACATGGATGTGACTTTTTTTGGATTAGCAGCCTTTTGTTAATTGCCTACTAGATGCTAAACCTCAACAGGAAATAAATGCTGAAGGAAAAGAAATAGCCTGGGTTTAGGCTTGAATATAAAGTACTACCCCTGCCCCCTTCAGGCTCCTGTGTTTGAACACTTGGCCCCCAGCTGGCAGTGCTGCTTTGGGATGTCATAGTTCCTTTCAGAGGTGACACCTGGCTACCCCGAGGTGGGTCAATGGGGACAGGGCTTTGAGGGTACAGGCTAGCCCTGATTCTGGTTAAGTTTTTGAGCATCCTGTCAAAATGTGAACAAGCCATACTGGAAACTCATATTGCAGAGGAAGTTCCCAACTATCATGTCTTTCTTGCCATCATTATTCCCCTGCAGTATTTCTTTCTGGTGTATGGTTACATTAATGTGGACTCCCCCTCCCCCCATTTGTGTGTGTGTTTGCATGTTTGCGAGTGTTCCTGTGTATACATGGTTGTGGCAGCTCAAGGTTGACATGTTTTTTTTTTGATCACTCTTCATGGAGGCATTGTTTCTCAATTGAACCCAGTGCTTGCCAATACGACTAGTTTGGCTAGTTAGCTTAGTCTAGGAATCTACTCTCCACCGCTAGAATTAAAATTGCAGATGGGCTGCCATACCTACGGAACATTCTCACATGGGTTTTGGGAATTTAATTGCTGTGCAATCTGGTCCCCACGACTGCACAACACGTTTTATCCACTGAACCATCTACCTGCCAGACTCTGATGTGGATTTAGAAGATGTTTCCTATGTTCCAAGTAGGTTCTTCTACCAACTGCCATTCTTAACTCCAAACCTAAAAGGCTGCTGGGTAGAAGTGAAAGAACAGTAGTGTCTGGCTCATGTGCCGGCGTTGGAACAGTTTGGGGATGCCAGCTATGGTGCAGACAGCTGGCATTGAACTCATGTGATTCTCTCCATGTAAAATAGTAGTACATGACTTTTATTTGGCTAGAGAGGGAGATGCTAACCCTTGAGTGCCAAAGCTGTATGTCTTTAAACCTGTTTGTTGAAAAACAAATCTTCAGCAAGTATCTACCTGGAAGAGAGCTGACTCAATGTGGCAGCACCTAGTTTACAGATGACCCAGCCTTTTCATCGTTTTTTATAGGCAGGGTCTCACTATGTAACCCAGGCTGGCATCAAACTCTGGATTCTACAGCTTTGCCTCCTGAGTCTTGTTTATGAGTTTTTTTTACAGTTTAAATTAGAATTCAAAACTCATGGTTCTGTAAACCTAGCAACACAAAAGTTGTCATATCAGGCCACAAAGCTGGATGTAGCCCAATCTCACTAGGCTAGAGTACTCACACACTTAACTTGATTCATGACTTTAAGTTCAGGCCTGCTATGAAACTTGCTCAGTTCAAGAGTAGCACACAAGCAAACAATGGTAGAGTCTGATTCCTGTCATCATGTGTTGTCCTATCTGAATGCCTCTTGTTCCTGCCATTATAGTCAGGAAATCACCAACTATTTAATGAGAAGACTTTTAGGGATGAACCTGTTAGTGATACGTATTACTTCTGCCCTTATCTGCAAGGCTAACTGCGCATGACCCAGTTTAACTGCAAAGGAGGCTGGAAAATGTAGGCTCTTTGCCTACTTTGTGAGACTTTTGAGAATTAGTGATGATAAAAGCTACTTCCTTTCCTTTCCAACAGATGAGGTAACTACACTGATTCAATGTGGCAGACGGTGGTAGTGGGCTGCGATGGCAAGTTTCCTGGTAAAGGATAAAGGGACATAGTCAAAGGGAATCAGTTGTAGATTTTGCTCCGGTCACCCAAAAGGTGGATAGAGAATAAGAACTACGGAGTTAGCAGATGATGCTCTTTAGAGGGTCCTAGGAAGGACAATTCAAGGACAGAGGGAGAAGTACTAAGGTGTACCTGAAAGGATGATCTGGGTCTTCCAGGGAAAGCATGCTGGAAAGAGGTAGAAGGAAGCAGTGCCCAAGAAATGTACAGATTCCTTTCAGAAAATAGGAGTGCTGAGTAATTTAGTGGCTCCTCTCAACTGCTAAATATCTAAAGCTGCTTTAAATGATGTCAAAAATAAGTACAAACCTACTAAAGAAAAGATATCTTTCACCAAAAATTCAAAATGCTCAATAGACTTGAACAAGCTGCAAGGGAGAAGGTAATTCACTGTATTAGTGGAGAGCACATTTTCAGTTTCTCTAAGAAGGCACAAGTGAACACAAGTGAAGAATGCTTTGTGCAAAAGTTCACTGGACCAAGGATGGGTGGTAAGTCATTAGAAATAATGTTAGGATGCTAAAAATTAAATGTGAACTGAAGTTAGACATGGATTTTTTTTTTTTTTTTTTTTTTTAGAGAGAGTCAAAGGTTAGGGTTAGGTACAGGTGTATCCTCTTCCTGAGTATTTCCGGCTGAAGCACTTCAAGGCTTGAACTGTCAGAATGCCTACAAACTTGTTAGGCCAGAAAGAAACTTACTCAAGTCAGAGCTTTGCTACACTGAACTGAACAATATTCTATATATCTTGGGAATCAGTTTTCTTTATTGCTCCAGAAGACTGGGTCAGTGTGATAGAATGGTCTTTTTTTGAAGACTTGGGGCGGAGCTAGCTTAGCTATTTACTTGCTTTCCTGACTCTGGGTAAATCACTTCATTTCTCAAGGCCTTGGCTTCCTCTAGTTTTAAAATATCACGAAGTCTTAACAAAGAGCTTTGATAAGAAATAATAACAGTCAAATGTAGTACATTGGGTGGTATGTCACAGCATATGTGGAATTACTGAATAAAATTATAAAAAAAATAATTCCATATATTTTAGTAGGGGCTGTAGGAGGAAAGAAAAAGCTATTGTGACTTTTATAAAAATCAATGAACCAAGGAAATGAAAAATACAAAAGATTTTGTGGGAAAACAATTTCTTACAATTGTCAGTGAGAAAAACATAAAGCAACAAGAGAGATTTTACTTATATAGCTTTAACAATGCCTATATGAACTGAGGAAAACTATAAAACAATGAAGACTTTACATTTTTAATAGTTGAAAAAAAACATTGTTTTGAAAGGAATATGTGTGTGTGTATCCTACTTTAAAGTTTATGATCAATTCATAAAGTAATTAGGTAAGCTACATTTTTATTTTAGAAAGCCTTTGTCCCCTAATTCCCTCCCCCCAAATTGAAACCAGCCTGTCCTACAGAGTGATCTCTAGGACTGGCAGGGAAACCTATTTCAACCTCCCCCCGCCAAACAAACAAACAAAAAGAATCTCTCCCAAATAAAACTCATTTGATGGCATTACTGTACCTTGATCTTGGTGTTCAAATATGGACTATGAAGACACTGGAATTGTGGGTATTTCAGAGATTACACATTAGAAAAGCAAAGAATCCAACTGTTATCAATATAGACGTGATGGCTATTCTTGGTTGTCAACTTGTCTACATCTGGAATTAACTAAAACCGAAGTGGCTAGATATACCTGTGGGGGATTTTTTTTTTTTTTCTTAATCATTTGGAGTGGGAAGACCCCACTTTCAATCCAGATCTCTGAGCCACACCTTCTGATGGCAGTCTAGATGAAAGACACCAAAGAAGGAAGCTTGATCCTTTTGCCTGCTTGCTCTCACTCTTGCTGGCAAGTCCATTCCTTCACTGGCAATGGAGCACACTTCTTTGGCATTCTGGTATATATTGAAAAAGCTGATGCATCTGTCCTCATGGACCGAACAACTGGATTCTTGTCCCTTTCTTTGGTAGCCATCCATTATTCAACTATCTGGAACACAGTCTGTAAACGATGCTAACACAACCCCTTCCTCTAAATTCTGTTCCTACAGAGGACCCCGACTAATACAATAGTGCATCTATGAAAAGTCCTCAACACAGTCAGTAATTGGGGAGATGAAAGTTAAAACTGACATCAGGTACTTGCCACCCTGACCAGAATGAGAAAATTGAGTTTGTCAAGAGCTGCAAGGTGTGCAGCAAAGGCACTCATATGTAGCTAATATGACTGTATCATGTTAGAAGACTGTGTGGCATTATTTATTCATGTTTATGATATACATTCTCAAGTACAGATCACACAGAATCTGATGTAGATGAAGGAATACAGATTTAAGGAACTTTTTGCAACAGCAAAAAGCCTCAAACTGAACCCAGACTTTCATCAACAACAAAATGGCTAAACAAACTGTTACACATTGTTACAAAGGGACACTTGTATAAACAGCAATGAAAGAGAACAAACTGTAGCTCTAAACAACCTGAACAACATATGGATTACAGCAGTTGAGCAAATATAGTAAGCATAACAGATTACACATTATCTCATTTATATACCATTCACAAGAAAGGGAAAAACTAAACAATGCAATGCTTAGGGATGAACACCTGTGATAAAACAATAAAGAAAAGCAAGGAAATGATTACCACAAAGGTCATAATAACAGTAACTTCCAGGAGGGAGAGTTGTGTTTAGGAAGGTCGTTAGAGGGCTTTTGGAGGATTAGCAAAACGCCACTGATTGACTCGGTTGACTGCTTACGGGGTAGTTTCTTTGATAATCACTCATAGCCTTATATGTTTAAAGTCTATTTCAAAAAATGCTTAAAATGAACTGATATACTATAGTGGCAATTTTAGATATTTTGCCAGGTAAGCTAGGTCATGTAATCTTTTGACAGTAGAAACTACTGGCATGGGATAATAAAACATTGCTTAGTTTCTCATACAAGCTCACTTTCAAGGGAAGTTATGAAACAGGCAGGTATCCCTTTGTCACATTTCAACACAACATGCAGATCTTTGATAAGTGATGAGCCAGGAAAAGAACCGTTAGCCAAAATAAGTTTCTGACCCTGATTTACTGTTTTGGAAATCTGATTTAACTGATATGTTTCTCCTCTTGATTAACAGGCAAAACATGGAACTGAAAGGATATAGAACAAACTGGAGATGCATGAATTCCCTCCTCCCCAGCGGCCAGCGTCTGGCAGCTGGTTTCTCCTGCTGCCAGGCTGGGAGGGGAGTTGAACAGATCTTATTCAGCCAGCTCAGTGGAGCTACTATCTTCAGTAGGTGGCTCCGGGCTCTTCTGAGTGCCATTCTGTCCCTCAGTGATGAGGTTCTAAAGTGGAACCATCAGCAATGAAACAGATCAGGCCTTTGAACACTGCATGGCACACTGGTTTCTGGAAGCATTCTCAGTTGCACAGCTCCGCAGTTTGTACTCTTCCCATTCAAAGTTCACAAAATTAAACACCGAGGTGTTCAGCTTCAGAAAAATCCTCTAAACCTATATTCTATTTAATTTCTGCTGTTCAGAAGAGAGTTCAACAAAAAGGATTATGTTGTAGTCATGTCTGGCTATTGTTTATTTAACCTGATTCCCTGTGCATCTAACCTGAACTCGGCAGGTTTAATGGATCATGTTTGTAGACAGCCAAACCCAGTGTTAACTAGAGTGAGATATTTGACTCCTGGGATTTCAGGTGAAGTACAACAGGGCCTGGTGCGACTTGTGAGTCTGCTGTTACTTTTGTGACATCCTGCTACCCCCTTTATTCACATTTTTTTTTGCAGCCTTTGCACAAAAATGAAACCTTGATTTATCAATGTAGACATTTCACTGATCTACTGTTTGCATGTGGTGGTGGAAGGAAGATGAGGCAAAACCCTGGGCTTCCCAAACATGTGGACAGCGTATTTAGTCCAAGCAAGGTGCAGGGGTCCGGCCTCACAACTGTGCAATTTGTTTTCCTTCATCTTTGCTGCTGCTTTAATCTCATTCTCCCACCACTAAGAAGGGCAGGTTCAAGGCAGATTTCTGAGGATTGTGGTCCTTTTTATCTTGAAAATTCTTTTACTACAGAACCACAGTTCAAATTTCAGTAGTTTTTCCTAAAACTTAAACAGAATCTGTAGTGAAAGACCCAGTGGGGGTCTTTCAGTAGGACAAATAGCTCAATATAATTAATAACAGAGGGGGGAGAGGGAGGGAGGAAAGGAGTGAAGAAGGGAGGAAGACAGAGGGTGGGGGAAGAAAGAGGAAGAGAGGAGGTAGGGAGAGGGAGAGGAGATAGAGAAAGATCGCGCGCGAGAGCGCGCTTTTGAGTTAAGTCCTAAGACCTGGACCAAATTTTTTTGAAGATAGTAAGAGCACTGTAATGAACAAGACCAGTTCTCCAAAAAATTCAAGAGACAAGCAAGAATGATTCTTAAAAGGGAGGCTCGCCTACATCCGTCCCTTGAAAACGTAAAAAACAAAACAAAAGAAACATCCAGAGTTGGTTCTCTTTCAGCCCTCTGCTCCCCAACCCCGGCAATTTACCTCCTTTCCCACAAAAGCCTGAAGTTGCGGCTCTCAACGTCGACTTGCATCCCTTTCCTTTCACAGTTCGAGGGTGGCTTTGGGGTGTATTACAACTCTCAGGTTTCTATGCCGCAATTTACAAAACACTTGCACTTCCACCATCACTGCCGAGTTCCGGGACTGCGATGCGAGAGGCATCCATTCATTCATTCACTGACTCACTCAACAGACCTTCGCACCGCACCACTACCACACAAAAAGCGGCTCAAGATTTCACGCCCCACGCCACGGGGAGGGTGGGGCGCTTGCTCCCGGGAGCAGGTGCAGCAACTGGGCTGGAGGTCAACTTTCCCACCCATCTCGCTGTTGGAGAGCCTGCTCCGGGACAACTGCCTCACCTTCGGGTGGTGCGCGCCCTAGCCCGGCCCCGAGCCGGGGCCTCCTCCTCGTTCCCAGAGGAGCAGTCCGCACCTGCCCCGGAGGGAACGGCCACGGAGCTCTCTCTCCGCGCCGCCCTCGGGTCAGGGGTAAGATCAGGCGGTAGCTTAGGCTCGCCCGGGCTCCTCCCCTTCCTCTCCAGTTCTGACGCGGCCGTAGAGGCGGTGGCGGCGGCGGCGGCGGCGGTAGCAGCAGCAGTCCCGCGGCCCGAGGCGCACCCACCCGCTCGCAGATCTCGACTTCCTCTTCCCTTGATGCGTCATCAGAACGCGCCGCAGTCTCTCTGGGCGGGGTGGCTGGAGAGGGGGAGTAAAGGCCAGCAAAGGAAGGCGCTGCTGAGAGGAAAGAGAAGGGAGGGGGAGGAGAGCGGTTGCTAGGCGACTTGCGTCATCGCCGGGCGCCGCTCTCCTCCCGCCCCTCTCAGGAGTGAGGCGAGAGCCCCGCACAGAGCGAGGGAGACAGGGAGCTGAGCTCCGGGTGCTGCCGACGCCGCCGGTGAGAGCGTGAGAGCGAGTGAGTGAGCGAGCATCCGAGAGACCGGGCACCCGTGCACTGGCCGCCGCCGAGACCTTCGCCTCAGCCCGGGCCAGCGGGAGCCGCGGCCGCCGTCTGCTTCCCCCCCTTACCTTCCCGGCCGGCAGCGGCTGCTGCACACGCCGGAGCCCCAGCCGGAGCCGGAGCCCGCGGCCGGGGGGCAGGGAGGCGGCTGCCGCGGGTCGGGACTGGTAGCTGCTCAGTCGAGAGAGGACGCCCGCGAGGGGCTGGGCTTTCTGCCTCGCCCCGGGGTGTGGGGCGAAGGACCCCCCGAGGTGTAGGGAGGGGATCCCGGCCGCCGCGACACATGCGGGAGCCGGGAGCGGGGGCGGCGCCGATCCGAGCCCGCCGGGCCCCCAGCTTAGCCGCCGTCCGGTCCGGCCGCCCGGGACCGTAGCATCCCTTCGCGGAGTGTATGAGCCGGGGCCCCCAGCCCAGGAGCCATCCCCGGGCCGGGGGGGCGGGGACCCCGATGTGAAGCGGCCGCGGCGGCGTGGTGAGCGGCCCGGGCGCCGCCGTCCTCTCCTTCCCCTCCCCTCCCCTTCACCCCCTCTGGGGGGCTTCTTGGGCTCGCCGCCACCCCCCTCGGCTCCTCGGCGGGACTCCGGGAGTTCTCGGCGCCCCCTCCCCGCCCCAGCCCCCCCCAGGGCAGCGGGGCCGGGGGGGACCCGGGGGGCCGGCCGCAGCCTCCGCCCAGAGGAAACTTTACCCAAACAAAATCATCAAGCTTTACGATCGTGACTGTCCCGGGACAAGTGGCCCAGGACGGGCAGAAGCCACAGCCTGCAGAGACCCGGGAAGAGGGGAAACGGTGAGCGGGTCGCCGTCGCCGCTTCTACCCCGGCAGCGCGGAAGAGACCCGGGTGGTTGCCTGGTGGAGCGACGCTAGCACCGCTTCTTCCTCAGTTCCGCGCCGAGCCTTTCGCAGCTGCCGCCTCAGCCTGAAGGAGGAAGGGAGCCAGCCCACATTGTCAGCGCCACCGCTCGTCTCTAAAGCGTGAGTGGACTCGGGGGAGGGGGACATTCTAGGGTAGCAATTGGGAGCCGGTGGGTGCTTGGTGCTGGAGTTTGGCTGTTGTTTCTCGGGAGGGTTGGCTATGGAAACCTTTCCTTCCCGCTGAGGGGAGAAAGCATCAGTTTGCAAGAGTAATGCAAGTACAGGGGGTTTGACTTTGAGGAGCTGTGTCTCCAGAGTGGACGTTTGCACCTTTCTGCACACTAATTGGCAAAGGGAAATCGAGAAAACCCATGGACAGGTCTGTCCTGTACAGTTTCCTGGCCACCGGTTGTGACCCAGCACAGAGTGGTTTTTGTTTCAGGGAAACTCCCATGGATTCCCACGTGGGAATCACTTGAATCAACTCTTTAAAAAATTCTTTTTTTCTCTCTCTTTCTTAGCTGTTGTTTTTGAAGTTGTCCTTGAGAGAAGGACCAATATTCATATTACTCAGGGGAGCTTGCTGCTGCGGACGCCGTATTTCCCACGTCCAGAGATTCTGATGCATAAGGAGGACACTAGCATGTTTCAGTAGCTCAGGAGAGTCCAAGTTCCTAGGATGCGCAACTCTTTGAGACTGAATTTGGGGAGGTCACTTAATGCATTACCTACCGTTTCATGAAAGTTGCAGTACTTTCTTCTTCCCTAATGCTCATACCATTTTTTTTTTTTTTGCGGGGAGAGTAATACCTTTTATGTGATAGCACGTTTTTCCTAGGATTGAAAGGGAATGCACTCGGCTTTTCTTACTTAACTTGTCAACTTAGGAGAAACTTCTTACTCTTTCAAGAAAGTATTTCAGATATCTTAAGAGTGCTTTAAATTAGAGGTATAGAAATGTAATGTTTCACATATGTAGGGTTAAACATACTGTGGGATTTTATGTAGCAAGGAACATAGGTAGTGTAAGACTGATAATTCTGGTCCATTCAGAAGGTGGGCAGAATAGAGATGCTCTGTAGAAATGAATGGAAACCTGGGCTTGTTTATCTATTTTAATTTTTCCATTGAGGATCATGATTAAATTTGTTTGAAAGTTTCTTACATTTCACAATGTTTGGGTCCTGTTCTCCCCGCTCTTTTAAAAGTAATTAGTATGAAAGTTTATTAGTTTCTTCAAACTGCCTCCTCAAACTTACAAGTTACAGTTTGAGGAATGCTAAAGCCAACCATGAGTTTTTCTTCTCTTGCTTTTGTAGATTTTTGTTATTCTCTTATGTTATCTGTCCCAACTTTTTAGTCTTGAGTACTTATAGTTTTTTTCCATTTCTTTGATGACTTTGCCCTCATTTGGATTTTCAAGCTCTTCTATTTTTCCTTAGATGCTTTTGTTCTTTATATGTTTTCATAAAACACGAAGTTCTACTTAGTAAGTGGGAATTGGCATGAAAATATTGAATGTTGAATGTAACTTTAAGTTTAGAATAAAACATGTTTTTGGATCTGCTAACCTTATTTTGTGATCCTGAGAAAGTCATGATTCCATTTTTTGAAAAAGATGACTTGAGAGACCTAGTTTTGCATACTTTTCTTTTTGGGAAGAAGGGGGCTGTAAACCAAGAAATTCTACTTTTGAGTGTGTATTGCATCTGGTCAAAGTTGCTTATTAACTTGAGGACCTTCTTTGCAAATTGGTAGACATAACAGAACAGAACATTTGATACTTCTGGTCTTTGGGATACCTTTTTTTTTTTTTTTTTTTTTTTTTTTTTTAAACGAATAACAGAGGAGATCAAATACAAATTGCATAAAACTGTAGGAGATGGCTCAGTGTGTAAAGCTGCTTTCTCCATGTCTGAGGACTTAAGTCTAATTTAGAGAACCAAAGGTGGACTCTGCAGAGTTGTCCTCTGACCCACAGGTGTCACACTAATGTAGTAGTGGTAGTAGTTTTTTTTTTTAATTTATTTTTAAAGTTGTAGGAAAGGAGGAAATGTATTATCTTTATTACTCCAAGATCACCATATGCCAGGGACTGTCAATGCACCTTCCATTAGGGAAATGTTGATTTTGGACTACTCAGGAATAATTGGATCCTCTGAGCCAAATCTTGGAAGGGCTCCTTCAGGAAGAGAAGAGCATATACAAACAAAATATTAAAAACTCAAGAGTCAGAACATGTAAAGGGGAGATCTAATTAGGAAGTTAGCTTGGTGGGAATACCTACCTACTGATGGAGGTTCTCAACTAAGGGTAATATCAGTTTGTACTTGTATAGGCTCATGGTTACAGTTCATAAAAGAATCTGAAAACTGCTCCAGAGAGGGTAGTTTCAAGTGATTGGGAAGAATTATACTTTATTTACAATGAAAGACATTATGCTGGCTTTAGGATTTTGTTTCTCTAGGAAACCAACCATTTTACACCATGTGGGGGCTGCTTGAAAAGGAAATGCTTTGAATGTTTTTTTTTAGCGGGATGCTAGTAGTTTCTCATGAGCAGGAATTCAGAAACAGCAGCAGACTTTGCTTTGGATGTGGAATTTTGGGGTAAGAGATGGATATCCATATAGTTCATGTGTTGGCTCATTCTGTTTTCTTTCCTTCCCTCTCTTAATTCTTTCTCTTTGCCTTTTGAATCTGTCTCTTCTTCTAGGCTGACCTTGAACTTGCTGTGTAGCTGCGAATGACCTTTAACATCTAATCATCCTGATCCTGCCTTGACTTCCTGAATGCTAAACTTACTGGTGTGTGCCACTATTTCTGGTTATGTAGGACTGGGGATGGGACCTAGGGCTTTGTGCATGATATCAGGTCCTTTGGCAACTGAGCTACTCCTTAGTGCCTGCCCCATATAGCTTTCAAGACTGCAAAGTAGTTTGGGTAATGTGCTGACAGTGTGGGTAGCAATGGGAGTCATTCTTAAAGCCTTTATGTTTCTGAGATTACTGATACTGAGTAAGGAGCTGAAAAATGAGTTTACAGTTTTGATGACGAGACAGATTTGTGTTAGCACAGACATAGTAAAAAGAGACATTCCCCAAAGAGATGCTTCATAAGTGAGTGAAAATGGCAGTTGAAAAGAGGAGCAGTCTTTAAACATAGCTGCCGACTCAGTCCAGAGCATATAATTCTGTTTTAGCAACAGTTAGAAGTTTTCAGTAGAATATTTAGATACTGAGACATGTTCAGAACACACAAGACTTTGTGAACTTAGAAATGAAATGGAAGATTAGTTTCTCAAAACTCAGGTTTTTGATATTTCCTTGTATTATTATAATCTTAAGCTTGGTTCCAACCCCCCTTCCCCAGACAGGGTTTCTCTGCATAGCTCTGGCTGTCCTGGATCTTGCTCTATAGACCAAGCTGGTCTTGAACTCAGAGATCAGAGTACCTCTGCCTCCTAGGTGATTAATCCCTCCCCAGGGACTAAAGGTGGGCACCACCACAGCGCAGCTAGGCTTGGTCTTAGTACTATTGAAGTAGGGCTAAAAATTGCTGAAAGGAAAGGCTGTTTCCTTTTGTTAATTTTCAGGGATGTGCATCTTTGTGGCCCACACAGTGGAGGGGATATTTCTGGGTTGGCACAGAAGTGTCAGGGACACAAGAATATTCAGGCATCTTTATGGTTACCATTTGGTGTTGTTTTTGACAAGGATAAAGGATTGTGAGTAGAAACACATAATCATTATCTTTATGTTCCTTAGTTTGAATTCAGTACCTTCCAAAGCTTCTTTGGCTTCTTAAGAGAATACCCAGTTGGCAGAAACCCAGGAATAGAAATTTTTAAACAAGGAGGTAGGGCTACAGTGATTTTGGGATGAGCAGATAGTAATAGAATATCTGCTATCTAGGCCTCCCCCTCCCCTGTTTTCTCCATTTCTTACATGGGTGAAGATATGTTTAAGGGGTTTAAAAAGGTAAACTTTTAGCATTAATATGATTTATTAATATGGTGGGACTCCATGATGGGGAATAGTAGCATCAATATTCTTTGTCGTGGCAGTTTTGCTGTTAATATGAGAGAGCTTTGAGGGTGCATATCTGTGTGTGTCTTAGCACCAGAGAGCTCCAGAGTGTGTGAGGCTTAGCAGAAGCTCATTTAAATGTACGTTGAAGATGTTTCTTGGAGAAGTGATCTAGAGGAAGGGTTGGCAACTTTTCTGTGTGGGTCAACATGCTCTGTCATAACTTGCAGCTCTGTTCCTGCTATGTGAAAGCAGCCATAGATAATATGAACTCGAGCTATAACTGCTCCAATGGGATCTCATGCATAGATAATATGAACTCAAGCTATAACTGCTCCAATGGGATCTCATGCATAAAAACAAGAAGTAGATGTCGGGATTTGGCTTGTAGGGTGAAGTGTATAATCCCCTGGCAGAGGACACCTAGATCTACCAGTATATAAAGTGAGCTACATATACTACAAAGCCAGATTGGCCATTTTAGGTGGACTGTGTTTTCCAGATGGTATGCTGGGCTGCCTGGTAATGATGAATTGCCTTTATAGTGATGAGAAGTATGGTGTCTCAGTTACTGTTTAATTTCTGTGACAAACCACCATGACCAGGGAATTTTGTATATATGAAGTATTTACTTTTGTTCACAGTTTCAGAGGGTGAGTCTGTGATCATCATAGTAGGTAAGCATGGTAGCAGGCAGGCATGGCACTGGAGAAGTAGCTGAGAGCTCACATCTGACACACAAGCCCAAGAAGCTGGGTCTGTGGGCTTTTGAAATGCAAAGCCCATCTCCAGTGACATACTTCTTTAAACAAGGCCACACCTCCTAGTCTTTCCCAAACAGTTTTTACCAGCTGGAGACCAGGCATTCAGTACATGAGCCAGTGGGTCATTCTCATTGTATTATGGCTAAAAGAATCTGTGAAGGAAGAAGCCCCATGCCCCTCACCCCCTGGGGGGGTTGGTTGTCAGTGGATTGGAACTCAGAAGCAAGGTGCATGCTAATCAAGCATTCTACCACTGAGCTCTATTCCCCTAGTGGTAGAAGCTTACCTTTGAAAGATTCTGAAAATAAATTGTAGGATAGCAAAGGCTACACAGAGAAACCCTATCTTGAAGAACCAAAAAGAAAAAAAAAATCATAATTTAGTTCAAAATTATTTTCATTTTGTTTTTTGAGGGTTGCTATAGTTTAAACTATTTAATTTGAATGTACATTTTAAACAACATTGCTACCTTTAAGAGTAAATATATTGCAAATGTATTGCCTAGAAAGGACCAGCTGTTCATTTGGTGCAAGCTTTAATGTTACAGCTG